CCGCCCAGGGCCCGCCATATGCGTGCGGGGAAATAGTTAGGAACCGAGCTAGACTCAGCGCAGCAAAATAATACAAGGTACAAGTCATTGTGATCCTCGTTTCCGTTTAAAGTAGGACTGACGGATGTAGTCTCACAGTGAAAATGCACAAACTAACAACAGGTCTATGTAATTAAATTACGAACTCGTAGGACAATGCTGGCTACTTGGGGGTGAAGGTTGTTCGCAGTGCAGCCAAATAGGGAAATGCGCTTTCACTTACACATAGGAACAACGGTTAACGGTAAGGGGTCATGACCACGCATATCGACAGTTCCACCGTCAATTTTACGAGGTCCACCACATGCTTCAGTGAGCTGAATGCAAACGCAATTATTTAAGCGTGGGTTAGTTTTGAGTGGTAGACCTGCGTCGCATTTACCACACTCTCTCCCCCTGCTCCACCTTGACCCGGTGTCGAGGATGAATCAGGAAGGCTGGCGATGGTGCAGGTAGCTGGCGCGGCCGGAGCCGCCCCTAAGCGTGTCACCACATATGTCTCAAAGTACACGTATACTCGCCAAACTGGACTTCTGAAATCCCACGAAGTGAGAGGACCATAAAGACCATATTAAGAAGGAGCCGGTGTAGTCTGACTTTCAGTCTGCCAGTCAGGCACTGGCCGCGCGGTGTTTTCACCAGAACAAAAAGCACCGAAAACTTGGGAAAATAAATGCTGGACTAAACATTTAACTCTACAAACTATATAAACGTTCCAGTAGCATTTCCATCCTAACCGTAACCCCAATTTTAAGGTACAAGTGTGATAACAAGGGCTAGTCCGAAGTGGTTGCATTACTTCTTTTAAGCTCCCCCCAAAACTAAACTAGCCAAGTCAGAGTAGTGACTTGCGATGAATACATGCCTAACCAAGCAAGTGTTATATATAAAAATATTAGTCCTTAATAGACGCGCAATTGCGTGAAAACTTATCAAATTTGTTTCCAGTTTTAAGAGAAAATAGGCCGGTCTCACCATACTCCTTCGGCCAACCCGCTCTACAAAATACGCTACCCACAGTATTTGGGATAACTGAACTTGTGTTAATGACTAGCGTTCGATTTTGAAAATTATGCTAGACACCCTAGAAAAATAGTACAGCTGCGATCAGCAACTACTGAAGAGGTAATCAGGGAGATATGGGTGATGTTCAATCATTTCCCTATTCAGGAAAAAAGTTGGTCTGTCTACAACAAGGAAAGAGCTATTTTCTGGTTTATAATAATATTCAGCTAACTTGATTTGTCTCAAAAGCATGCAGTGCAGTCACAATCAATATAAATGGTTAGGGAACGAAGCTAACGCATTCTCCATCGCTCCGTAGTAACTTCAGCGCAAGTTAAATGTCAGCCTGACAGCAGAGTTTAAAATGCATGAATTTGGTCAGTGCCACGCTAGTGTTTAGGTCTGTTTGGTTAAACCAAACATTATCAAAAAGCTCGTTCTGACTATTGACCGTCTATGACCTTGCACCTTTTGCTTGCATACTTATTATCACTGTTATGGTGACTCGTATTTCAGGCATTCCGTACGATAACTACAACCCTATACCAGTTTTCAAACAGTATGCTAACTGTAACTTTAGTAAATACTGTCTGTACGACAGGGTCCGTGAAATGGTGTTAACTCTGAATGTTATGCCTGTATACGGGGACAGTAGGGCTTGTAATCACAATCCGCTGCACTACGTGCTGTACGCAATTAATGAAAATGTACAATCACTAGGCTGTTTTCGACCGCAAGCGAACGCAAAGGATGAAATATCTGTCCATGCTACTATAACTATTAGCGCTTGGTAGGGCTGTAACCTAGGCCACCTCGAACTCGCAGATGGTATTTTTCTACGCATTAATATCTAAGAGATCGACTCACTACCTTCCCATTGATGGAAACCAGATATCGAAGCTTCACAAATTACCAGACCTTGACGGATATTGATTAGATATAATTAAAGACAGTTCCAGGTGACGACGCTGAATCGAGTGCACTAATACCAAATTCATGGGACCGACTGCAAAGAGTGTCCAAACGACCTCTTGAACAGTCGGAAATATCCTCGCAACGCTGACGCAGCGAGTGCCGACTATCTCATTCGAGACGAGGAGTCTGTTTCACTGCTAGGTAGCGATAGTCAAACGCCCCTAGTTTTTACTCAGCTGTAACGGGCACAACCTAGAAGCCAGAGTCGTACAAAATTGACTGAGCGGATGCCCAATAAATGAAAATCCCTGGTGATGACGAGATCGCGTCGAGTTTATACACACTTTATAAGGATTGCGAAATCCGTGAATAGCATTGATTTGGCCGAAGATATAATTCTTACCCTGTTTATTTGGCAATGAATTCGCCCCGAAATATTTGAGACTGCTCGCTTCTTAAGCTAACAGCCACTAGCTTCGACGGAGTCTTTTAGGGTCAAAAGCGTAGCTCGAAACCGACTATATTAGTGAATCCAACGACCCTGGCTACAGCAGTCCGTGATAAAAGGTATCATAGTCGGGGCCAGTTAACAGGCACCCAAGTGCCAATTCTACAAGAGCAAAACCGCGAGGAAAAGTTCCAATAATTTAGTCGATGACACACGAGAACAGAATTGAGAAGAGAAAGCAAACTGTAACGAATATCTGGCCACATATCGAACGGCTATGACAAATTGTTGTGTATTACTACTCGCGTAGGGCGATAGAAGGCCGTGCTAACAGGTGAATTTGGGTGAAGTCGCCTTCCCTTGTGAGATGAAAAATACTTCAAACACATGTGCTTCGCTGGCCCAGGACATTTTGTTTCAACGAAATTTGGTAACGTTCAGGAGTCATAAGGATTATAGCTCCTTCATTTAAAGTTAGCCGTTTCCTGTATACTCCTCTTCAGATTTTTCCCCCGACACCCCTTGACGAGTTAACGGCGATGGGCGACCATCGAAACTTGAAACTGAAGCTACTACTAACCTGCAATGCCTTCAAAAGGAATTTATGGGAAACTTGGATTTATTCATAGATAAACATCAATAAGAACATAAGTGCATACTCGGATAGCGTCTGGGCTTACTTGGCTCCAAGAAACAAACCACTTTATATTACAAATACCAATCACGAAACTTTGGCTGATGTCTGTGGAAAACGACAGTAGCAGACAAATGGGTGAAAGGGTAAAAGGATACCGATTCCTAAAGCGGAATCGACCAAAATGAAGCCTTTTTCAAAAAAAAACTAGGAATTGTGTTTTAAATGTGCAAATCAAGCCATAAACAAATTTTGCGGCAAAACCTGTAAATAGTGGCAACGAATTCTTAATGAACCTCCACTGTCAATATGCATAGTGCACCTTAATCTAAAATAATCTAAAACAAATCAACACTAATAATTACTCGGGGGTAGTAAAGTACCACGTAAGGAACGGGAAAGGCATATTTTATAAACATTCTATTCGGTTAAAAGGGAAATGGGCGTGTGCCCGAATAATCATAGAAATTGACCGTTCATTTCAGAAAAGTTATGAAACCAAACTTTTTGACAACAAAAATATAAAGTCAATCAAGTAGTTTCAAAAGTTGGAAAGTAATATATTTAAAGCGTCTCTAAACAATTTGGAACAAAGAAAATATGTGAATAAAAAACCTACATTTTGTAGATGCGATCAGTTTACGACAATGGACTGCCTACTTACCGTGCTAAACAAATAGAATTACAAAAAATCAAGACTAACCTCATGAGATAGTCCCTAAACTCCTTGGTTCGAACATAACGCAATAAACGGGAAGCCATTGCGAGACCCAAACTACTTCGTAACGTGCGGGTTTTCTTCGCTAAAGGGGCATTTAAAAGGATAATTAAAACAACAATAATTTCCTTACCAATTACTTTAGTTTTACACTTAAAAAAAGGTTCAGTCCAAATATAAACGTCCCATTGTGTTTTGTAGCTCCTGCGCGTACAAAAGAAAGATGTTTAGATTATTCCCTGCGGTTATTACGATCAGCTTTCTTAATTGTCATAATTTCGTCCCCTCTTCGGAATATTCCTCTTCCAGTGAAATTAAATCATGGGAAATAGCATCTTTTCATGTCCTTATGTATCGTTTTTTCTGCATTATACGGTTCTACTATCTCGTAAAGACCGTCTCTAAGGCAGGGATACCTAAAACTGCCGGGTGCCACATCCG